ATTGCATTGAGTTCCACTTAGTATCGTGTCTGATCGTGACCCTAGCTTCACGGCACGATTCTAGGTGAGTCTTCAAAAGGCAATGGGCACTAAAGTTCACTTCTCTACCGCATATCACCCCCAGACAGATGGGCAGTCAGAGAGGACGATTCAGACACTAGAGGACCTGTTGAGGGCGTGTGTCTTAACCATGGAAGGAGCTTGGGACAAGCATTTGCCTCTAATGGAGTTTTCTTACAACAACCAGTATCACAGCTCGATACAAGCAGCTCCATATGAGGTATTGTATGGGAGGAAGTGTCGTACACCATTGTACTGGCATGCATAGGGCGTGCGACAGCTAGAGGGTCCGAAGATGGTACAGAAGGCAGTGGAGAAGGTGGAGGTGATTCGCCGGAACTTGAAAGCAGCTCAAGACCGACAGAAGAGTAATGCCGAGAGGCCAGGGAACCCACGATTTTATGAAGTGGGGGATATGGTATTCCTAAGGGTGTCCCCTTGGAATGGAGTGATGAGATTTGGTAAGAAGGGAAAACTTAGTCCGAGGTATATCGGTCCATATGAGGTGTTGGAGCGCATTGGACCCTTAGCCTATACCTCCTAGCCTATCTAGGATCCACGACGTTTTTCACGTCAACATGCTAAGGGCGTATCGATCCAACCCGGAGCATGCGATCAGACACGAGGACATCCAGTTGGAAGATTATTTGACCTGTGAGGAGGTTCCAATCCAGATCGTGGATAGGCAGGAAAAGGAGTTGAGAAGGAAGAAGATTTCCATGGTAAAGGTGTTATGGAGAAACCAGGGCAGCGATGCTGCGACTTGGGAGACAGAGAGTAGTATGAGAGAGAAGTACCCAGAGTTGTTTTTTGGTGTTTAGATCGTTAGTGGGTGAACTTCGGTGTACTCTCACTTTTAGTACTCTTTTTAGCTCCCATTTCTCGATTTTTTTCAATAATAAGACCTGATGGTTCAGTCCGGTTTCATGGTAGCTACCAACCCAGTTCAACCTACAATTTCGAGGTCGAAATTTCTTAAGGGAGAGGGAAATGTTATATCCCAACTAGCATTGTTCCTTCGAACACAGTGTTAAATCGTTCAATGTTTGCTTGACCGTTCAAATTTTGGGGACGAAATTTTTATAAAGGTGGAGGAAATGTAACACCCCGAATTTTGGGTTAGGGTTCGACCTTAATACGTGATCGGTTGGGTTGACAGTTGCGTACTAAAAGTTGCAATCGCGGATTAGTAGTAATAATAATAATGATAAAAATAATAATTACTATTATTATATAAAAAAAACAAAGCGGCGTGGGGCCGAGAGGGAGAGGGCGGCCCTCTCCTTTTCCCCAAATCCCCCAGCCGCCTCTCGTCCCTTCTCTTCCCCCAAGCAGAGAAAAGCAAAATAAACCCGCCCTAGCAATTTCCCCGTCCCCAAGCAGAAACCCCAGGCCCGCCTATTTTCTTTTACCCAGAAGCTCTCGGCCAAAAGAGAACCTTCCCAAACCCACCACATAAACCCCGCCGCCTCCATTCTTTTTCCAAACCCCAACGCGAGAAACCCCCAAATCCCCGCCGCCTCTCAATTTCCCTGGAGAAGAAGAATCAACCGCCACCACCTGTGATCGACCCCGATCCCGATCCCTTTCTTGTTTCTAGGTAAGGATCACGAACCCCTTCGCGTTTTCTAAACTTGATTTATCGATAGTCTAATCCGAAGCTCGTTTTTATTAGCGGTGACGTTGAGGGTTCGATCAACAAGGAGAACAACGTCCCAGATCATCTAATCTAGTCCTAAGCGCGTTCTAGAGGTAAGAGAACTCGATCCCTTTGAGTTAGGTCGTTTAATTTGGGAATTTTTCGTGAGGGTGCAATTCTGAGGTTTTAGCAACAGACGTTCAGGCCTTTAGTGACAGAATTTTGGGTAGTCACTAAAGCTGCCGGGAATTTCCAGAAATTTGTTTTAGATGGTTTAAATTGTTTCGAGTTCTTATGGGAGATTTTTCTTGGGTTTAAAATTTTTATAAATTGAGGGAGGTCCAGGAGATGGCTGTAATTTAATTTGAAGATTTTTGAATATGTATTTTTAATTTTAGAAATTGTTTGAACATTCGTTTTAATTAAATAAAAATATTTCCGAGGAGTTTATAAGGGTTTGGAAATTTTCCAGGGTAGAAGTACTCATGATGGATGTAGCAAAATTATGATTCGGATTTTTAAGAAGGTTCAAGTTAGGTGGAAATTTTGTCCCCGACTAAAATAATAAGGAAAATTGATCGGTTTTGAAGGGATTGTTTTTAGAAAATTTTTAAAGGGGGTTAACGGACCTTGGGAGAGAGTCTCGAGGGCTGGATGTTGAGGAGAGGAGGTTCTAGTGACCCAAAATGGAATCCTAAATCGAGAAAGATCGACTAAGGAGATGACTTTCTTATTAATAGGTTCACCGAGATTATTCGGCTAGGAGGGATTTCTTCGAGTAAGGAATCGAGGAATCATCTTTACAAGGTGAGTTTAAAGGGGGTAAATTCTGCTCTTTGCGTGTTCTTTCAATAATTACAAGTCTTGGGTATTTTGATGAAGTGAATGTCGTTTTTGATTGTGATTATGGTTGATGATATGTGACTCTGTTGAGCTATGCTTGATGTGAATGTGCATGAGTTCTTATTTAAATTTAAGCTTTAAGTTTATAAGTTATTGTTAAAGTTAAGAAACAAGCTTTTTTTAAGAAGTAACTCACCTTCAAGAAGGTGAAGTCGTTTTAAGTGTTTTTAGTCACTAGCACCAGTATGTTGCCTTTGAGACATTTTGAGATAGAGCAGCAGTTATGCTCTTGAGACTTTTAAGATGGGAAGCAGTTATGCCCTTGAGAATCGTCGTGAAGAGCCACCACGATAAGTTTAAGATGTTAGGGGGATGAATCGTTACGACTTCCCTAACTAAGTTTAAGTTTAAGGAAACCTGAATGGCTTCTCATACGTATGAGTTGGCAACCGGACTAGCTAGTGAGGGATCCCAGTGTCAGTCAAATTTTTAAGTTGAGATTTGAGTTTTAAGAGTAAACTCTTGGAGGGTGGAAGAATCATCCACCTATTTAAGTTGAGTACTTAAGGAAGAAATATTAGATATTTAAATCGTAAGGGCGTAGACTGACCCCAACTCACTCACCAGATCGTAGAGGAGGAAATCCTAACCAGCCAGTCCATGATCAGCAAGCCAGAGGAGCTCAACACCATCGTCGCTGAGAGATGTCGAGCCAGGCGTCAGAGTAAGCATCAGAGAACTTTTTCAAGTTATTAAGACTTTATGGTTAAGAGTTAAAGATTGGAGATTCATTTCTTTTAGATGATTTAAGTTTTACCCACGTGTTTCGGGCTTCAAATTGAGATATTAAGATATTCGAGTTTGGTATTTTATTTAAACTTGTGTTATTTGAGATTTTTAATTATACCCCGGGGTAGAAATGTCTTTTTCCAAATTCAAAGAGGTGGGATGTTTCATAATATGTATATATATTTATATAAACTCGACGGTAACTCAGATTAATTTGTGCTCTAAATAATAAAACTCGACGGCGTACAATGTATGACTGGCGTACGCTAGGCTGAACCATATAATATATATAATGTAGGGAGTTCTACGGTACCCAGGGTGAAATCTGGGGTACCACATACCTTGAGTAAGAAAATGCTATCTAGAACTTGAATTGACTGATCTTTCGGACATGATACTATACTCTAACCCTTAAAGATCAACATCTAGGTCTTAATTCTCTAATCTTATACCCCAAGATCAATTTAATTAGAAACAATAATTGATGGTTATGATTCGTCCAAATATAGGCAAGAAAATCAATGCACATGTTAGGGTTTATAGTTTATGATTTAGATAATTAGGACTTAGGGTTCACTCATTAAGGGTTAGGGTATAGTATCATGCCCAAAAATTCTGCTAATTCGAGGTCTAGATAGCGTTTTAATACTCAAGGTATGCGGTACCCCGGATTTCACTAGGGGTGCCGTAGAAGGCACCAGAGGGCAAAGTGTGTGTATATATATATATATGGAGTTCTACCTAGGGTGAAATCTAGGGTACCGCATACCTTGAGTAACGCTATCCCGAACTTGAATTGACTGATCTTTCAGATATGATACTATACTTTAACCCTTAAAGATCAAAATTTAAGTCTTAATTCTATAAATCTTATACCCTAAGATAAATTTAATTAGAAACAATAATCGACGGTTATGATTCGTCCAAAAATAGGCAAAAAAATCAATGCACCATCTTTGGGCTTATAGTTTATGATTCAGATAATTAGCACCTAGGGTTCACTCATTAAGGGTTAGGGTATATTATCATGTAGAAAAATCCTGCTAATTCGAAGTCTAGATAGCGTTTTCATACTTGTTGGGTAAGCATAAATGGACCATTGGGGGACATGGGCTTATGGGCTTGTTTAGGCCGAAGCCCATTGGAGAGCATGAGGAGTTAGGTACAAACAAAGAGTTGGGCCCATATAAGGAAGGACGGGCGCATGACGACAAAATAGATATGGCGATTGATGAGTACGGGACCAGGAGGCTGAGAGGTTGCCACCTGGTAGTGTGTTCCCTACTAGGCGCCTAGGCAGAGAGGTCCAGGAGCTGCCACGTGTAGGCGCATGACCGTTGGGCCGTACCAAGAATTTAATGATGTGATGACGTGGAGCTGAATTCTAGGATCTTGATCGGGGCATCGACGAGTATAAATAGTAATTGGTAGGTGGCATTTACGCAGGTTGGCTTCTCTCACTAAAACCTATATTGCACTTATCTCTCTAAAAATGTGCACTGACTTGAGCGTTGGAGTGATAACGGGAACCTAGAAGCCCACTAGGCGCTTGTTTGTGCAGGGTCTCGGTGCCTCAACTACGAATAGTTTCTACGAGAGCCGCGTATGCGGGACCGGGTATTAAGGCTCAAAAAATTGGCGCGCCAGGAAGGGGACCAGAGCTAGGCTCATGGAGAACATGAATGAGGGGAATGGAGGGGAGGATAGTTCGAGATCGGAGAGCTCTAACCCCGGAGAGGGCGAGCGTCAGTCGAGTCAAGAGCTGAGTATGGACGTAGAAGGAGAGGGTAGCCACGGGCACCCGTCAGCGGGGGAAGAGGAATCCTTGTCACAGAGGGAGTTATTTCGAATCATAGCTCACCAAGACAGGGCCATAGCAGCGCTCAGAAGGGAGTTGGAAGGTGGACGAAGTGAAGACAAGATGGCTTATAGTCCGGGAATGAGAAAGTGAGAGAGGGCGGGGGATGACTCGGGGTCCATGAATACGAATTTCCACATTACACTGAGTAGGGTGCAGATCTGCTTTGGGCGTCCGTGACACGTCCCGTCTCTTTTCAAAAACCAAACCATAATTCAATCCAAAAACCGGTTACTCCGGAGCAACCCAAACCACATTTTAAAATAAACTAACTGACATTATTTAAGAATTTTTAACGAAAAGCCCCAACACTTGGGCAAAATTCTCAATCTCAAACACCAAAGACGACTTAACACAGAATCTCCAGTTTATACTAATAACCATGAGACATAATAATTAACTAATCTAACTTGACTCCTCACGAGCTTTCCGATATCCCGTCGACGCTGGTACTGCTGCTCTCCTCGTCCTGCTTCTTCTCGTGATCCACTTCCGTTAGACTATCCTCAACCTGGTGAGTGAGAAGGGGTCAGTCTCGTCGTTACTTCCTAAGGTCCTTGCCCAAGGCAAACTCCTTACTAAACACATTATTAGGGGAATGCCTTCCTTAGACGAAAGTCGTTCTCACTTTCATCCTTCAAACTTTACTATCAAACAGTCTATAAGAGATCTCTACTCCTATCTTATCTTTAGAATTCCCTTACTTATGTTCTTAATAACTCCTTTCAACTTTAACTCATAGAGGTTCTCAACTTTTATCCTTAACACAAACACAAAATGCTAGGACCACCGCATTACGTCTTGCCGTCCGGTGTCCTACCCTAGTATGCCAACCGCGTTACGTCTCGCCGTCTGGTTGCATACCCAAACTCGGCAATGGCACTGCGTTACGTCTCGTCGTCCAGTCCATGCCCGTCAACTACTGCGTTACGTCTCGCCGTTCAGTAGTGACCCAACATACTCGATCGACTGTTGCGTTACGTCTCGCCGTCCAGCAGTGACCCGACCATCTATTGCGTCCAATAGTGGCCCAACCGCCTGGGGGTTCCTCTTACCATTAACCAACTATTACAATCATACATCCATACATTCATACGTAGCACAACGCGTGCCTCCACCCTTACAGGCGGTGGGATGCCTCACACACACATCGCGCATTACTCAGCAGTTAACTAATTAATAACTTGAACGAAAAGCATAAACTAAAAGACCTACGACAAAGATTTTACCCCCTTTACACTCACCTCGTACTCGTCGAAACCAACTCTGATTAGACTCTGACAATTCCAAACTCTCTCTTATAATATTCTCCTCACTCCCATGATTCCATAGGCGCAGACGATTCCTCGATTGGACGTCAATTGATCAAGTTATGGCCAAAATAAACATTTTGTCAGTTTAAAAATACCGATACCGAAATTGCAATTTCTCCAGTCAACAGAGTTGACCACGACCCCCATTGGAAAATTACAGAAAGATTCCACTAACTTTTCAAATTCTACATAATGGTACCTGAACTTAACAGATTTTCATCCAACCTTTCAGTGCCCGTTTCTCCCTCGTCCGACGTCGGAATTCGATTTCGTCTACATGGTGATGATCCTGGGATCGTCCTCTTTGCATTGATACTCACCACTCGAAAGATGGTTGAGGTTGACTACACTTGTGCCGCCGATGTCATTTGGTCTCGCCATGACTGCCGCCGCTAGCTGGCGATCGCGAGGAGGAGTGGTCGGGTCAGTCGATGCGGAAAGGGATGCGGCTTGCATCAACGGAAGGGAAGGGTTGGCCGGGTTGGTTTTGCTGGGGAAAGGTCGACAGATTCCTTTTTTTTTTCTTCTTCTTCTTTCTTTCTCTCTTCTCCAATTTTGCTGCTGCTTCCGTCCATAAAAGGTAGGGAGAATAGGGTTTTATGTTGGGGAATCAATAATAGGGAGAGAAAGGTAAGGTGAGTTACGTAACTCGTGGGCAGGGGGATTAATTCTCTTTTCCCCCTTCTTTTTGTTTAATAATAATAATAAATATGATTATTATCATTATTTTTTTAATCCACGGTTGCAACCCTTCAAACGTAACTGTCAATTCAACCGTTCACATATTAAAGTCGATTCTAAATCTAAAATACTGGGGTGTTACAGTCCGCGTACCTGGAGGCCACCAACCGAACTCATAACGACCGGCCCTAAAGAACCCAATGCATGGGCCCTAAGCGTATTGCTTGGCGCTTTGGCATCAGATAGCCCCTGGCGCGAAGTATCCTAATGGAGCCGACGGGAACGACGATCCCACCATTGCCTAGTTACGATGGGGTTGCGGACCCATAAGATCATTTGAACAACTATTTCACGAAGATGCAGCTCTACAACAGCTCGGACGCTACGTTGTGTAAGGTATTCCCGTCCACATTTGCTGGGGTGGTCTTAGACTGTTACCATCAAATCGAGGAAGGGCGCATCGAATGCTTTGAACAATTCGCTGAGTTGTTTTTATCCAAGTTCGCGAGCCGAAAGCGCCGACCTTTGACTATAGGCGCCCTATTCAAGGTGAAATAAAGGGAAGGAGAAGCGCTAAGGAAGTTCTATGACCGATGGATTTCAGTCGCCATGACGGTCAAAGACGTGCAACCAGCAGTGTTAGGAGTTTGCCTGGATGCATGCACATCCAGCGAAGAGTTGTGTCGAGTTCTCTCGAAGCGAGATGTGGTGTCCATCGAAGATCTAGATCGGAGAGTGCAAAAAGTGATCATATTGGTGGAAACGTTGACTGCACGAAGAGCTGAAAAAGGTGCCTAAGGGGGGAAGAGGTTGATGCGAGGCAAGCGCCAAGGCCCATGATAGGAAACAACGTTCCACAAAGGAGGCCGGAGGCTCAACGCCCATCACCAAGGGGTGCGGGAAATTTCACGGAGTACAATGATACGCTGAAGAATGTCTTTTAGTACGTGAAGGAAAGAGGTTATCACATACGTTGGCCAGGTCCTATGCGCGGTCAACCAAATGAGAAAAATCTCGACCGGTATTGTGATTTCCATCGGGACAAAGGGCATTACACAGCTGATTGCTACCAACTGAAAGCTGAACTTCAAACCTTGGCCGACAAAGGAATGCTCAACGAATTTGTAAAGAGAGTGGAGGAAAGGACCCATCGCACCTACGCGGCAAGAGTCGCTAGGCTGGCGCCTGTTGCACCCGTAGTTCAGAAGGCACCTGAAGTGCTGGTGGTTCAGCAAGTGCCTAAGATACCCCCACCTCCCTTTGAAGTGGACAAGAAGGAGAACCCAACCGCGCTAGGCTCACAGTGGAGTCTATAAACCAACACCCTCGACCTGAGAGATAAATTGGAGAGAACAAGGCGCCTAAGATCCGCATCGTTGAAAGCAAGGGCGACGGTACAAATACACTTCAATCAAGAACCGGATGAGGCGTGTCAGGTCCCGTCGGAAGAGTCATTAGGGATACAAGGGGTGATAGCGGGGTGCAAGGTGAAAAGAATGCTGTTGGACACCGATAGTTTGATGGATGTCCTGTTTAAGAGCACGTTCGAGCGCATGCAATTGGCGCCTGAGTTGGTGAGTCCCTCAAGCTCCGCTTTGATAAGTTTCCCAGGGGCGCCCGCACAAGTCATCAGGCTATTAGGTCTCCCCGTGACTCTAGGCGATGAAGCGCATTGTGTGACGCATGCGGTGGAGTTTGGAATCATGGACTTCCCCTCACCATACAACGTGATACTTGGCCGACCCCTCTTGGCGCAATTTAATGGAGTGGCTGATAACACCTAAATTATACATATATTCGCCTACACTTTTACATCCTAAAATAACATAAATTGTACCATGTTCATTCGATTTCCCGATTTTATGCTTGGTTTTGTGTTGGAGTCATGTTTCAGGGTATTCTATCCAATAAGAACGGAATAATGAGTCAATTCAACAAAAAGATGGTTAGGGTTCGAAATCTGGCGTCGGTGGAACTCGAGCCCGCGACGTCCCAGGCGAGGGCAAAGAGCCGTACCACTCCAGCCGCGTTCCCTTTTGTTATCAATATACGAAACCCATCGCGTATTATGGTGATGAATCAATGAAAGATAGCTGAAGCTAATAACTCACGTCAAATGGAAGAAGCAAGCAGGTCGATTATTCGGAAAGCAAGCAGCTGCATCGACGTCCTAAGCTAGCAGCTCCTCCTCCCTTGCCTTCGTAGCTGAAGCTAGTCACGTTAAGTGGGAGCAAGCTACCAGGTCAATTTAATGGAAGCAAGCTGGAGGATTAAATGGACAAGCAAGCACGTCCAAATAATGAAGCAAGCACGTCCATTTTAGCTCGTCCATAACTGAAAGCAAGCAGCTGCCTCGTCCGAATGAAAGCAAGCAGCTGCCTCGTCCGAATGAAAGCAAGCACGTCCATTATTTGAAAGCAAGTAGCAGCCTCCATAAATGAAAGCAAGCAGCTGGCCATTGAAAGCAAGCAGCTGGCCATTATCAAAGCGGTCGAGAGACAAGCAAGCAGCTGATCCATTTATTACAAGCAAGTAGCTCAAGTAAGTAGCTCAATTTGTACTATAAATAGAGGGAGAGGACACTAGACAATGGACACACTACTGCTATATTTTGTTCTCCCTTTCTTGTATTTGAAGTTAGTCGAAACTCTGTCGATTTTCATTCCAAACTCTTGTTACTTCTTTTCATTTCGTTAATCATATCTCGTATTTCATCCATCGTGGTTCTTATGTTTGTGTTCGTATTTGGGAATACCGTGGTATATTGCGTTATTGAGTTTACCGAAGTGAGCTTCTATTCTGTGGGGTTATGATAATCATTTGTGGTGGTAGATTGGTCGGTTTCCACCGTCTTCGCCCAACGATTATTCCCCCGTCGGAAGTTTTCTAGGTGTAATCTATTAACTCAATATACATACCGTATTCTCAACCCCTCCGTCTTTGTCGTCGTCATCATCATGGTAATGTTCTCAACCTTCATCTTTCTAAATCTCATCATGTCGGCTAATCTTCTAGTTGTTCCGGATTTGATGAACCCTAATATGTTTTACATTGATTGAGTGGTATCTTTGATATAGACGTGTTGTTCTCTTTCTTACG